AGACAAGTGAAGTCAATCCCTCGACCAACGTTCTGCCGAAAACGGTTACACTATCACTCCTCTTACTGTCCTGGCCTATCTATAGACTCTTTACCCTCTTATCCCACTTCCGCCCTATCACAACTTCTCAATTTTCATATAGAAACCTGTTGAGAAAAGAGATCACAAAGAGTCTGATAAAAAGTAAAGTAATGAACAGACTTAGCATGAGGCTGAGCCACTAATTCTGCGTATAAAATATGCCTTGAAGGAAGTGTATTCAGGATTTTTCTAAGAATCAGTTTGAGTATGAATTACAGTAGGCATTAAAGTCGCAGAAGAAGAGCTCGCAGAGAGATAGGTTTATTTAAAAATAAACAGTTATCACTGATAAAGTGTAAGCTAGAATTCATTGGTGAATTTGGCTTCGAAAAGGAGATAAAGTCAATTAATAAGACATCGATATAATAAAATGAATCTGATTAACAAAAAGAGCAAATTAAAATACAAGTAAATGTTCCAGTAAGTTACCTAAGTTCATGGGTAGCGATGCGGTCTCCCGAACTGCATCTCCAGTGGAACCGTCAAATTGCAAAGCAAATTCTGCCTCTTGTTTCACGACGGACCCCCTAGCCTGCTCGAAATCCTTTTTCTCAACCAACTGCGAAAGTTCTAGTTTTTCTAATTCATTTTCAGCTTTCATGTCTGAACCAGGTTTAGCTAGTTTTCCTTTATCATTCTCCCGGAATAGTCCCAAGGAAGGAACCACATTGTGATGGGGTGGAAAATCATCGACCTCGTTACTACTAGCTCCTGAAGTGTTCAACGAATCTAATTGGTGGTGCTGATGTTGCTGATGATGCGGATAGGGGTTGTAGGGGTGATTTTGTTCCAGTTCAGGCTGATTAAGTAGAATAAGAATAACATTTTAAAAATGAGACTAAAATTTTGACGAAGACCCTTAAAGTAACACAGCACTAAAAAAAATTGAAAAGAAAGACAGACATAGAACTGAATTAACTCCGACAGGTGTAGAGATAGAAGAGTTTATCAATGAAAAGAGAAGATGAGTGAACTCTTGATTGTCAAACCTATAATGGTCTATAACTTCACGATATTGGAAAGGAATGTCAAATATAATATAATGTAATAATATTAATAATAATAGTCAACGAAATAAGGACAAATTTTGCTTATTTTATTTGTTTTCAC